TTCATCCAGGATGGTTTCTTCAAGTTTCATCCATTTGCCTGCGAATTTCTACACACCATCATCCAGTTGTGCCAGCACCATTTGTTGAAGATGCTTTCCTCCTTCCATTGTATACTTTTAGCTGTTCTGTCAAAAATCAGGTGTTCATAGGTGTGTGGGTTAATGTCAGGATTTTCTATTAGATTCCATTGTGAGCATGTTGGAAGTGGGGTGGGCAGTGAGTGGAGAGGGAGCTAGGAGAAAGAGAAGGGGAGGAGAGGAAAGCATGTGGGAGTAGGAAGATTGAGCCAGGAGAGGAATAGACGAGAGAGAGAGAGAGAGAGAGAGAGAGAAAGAGAGAGAGAGAGAGAGAGAGAGAGAGAGAGAGAGAGAGAGAGAGAACATAAGAGAGGGAGCCATTATTGGTTTGAAGAGAAAACTGAACCTAAAGAAATGTCTAGACACCTACAAGACTGACTCCAGCTAACAATTTGAGCAACCATGGAAAGGCTACCATAAATGCCCTTGCCTGATAGTGAGATCAACTAACTTATCCACCATCATGGAGCCCTCATCTAGTACCTGTTGGAAACAGAAGCAAACACCCATAAGTAAACACTGAGTTGAAGTAGAACCCAGATGCAGAGAGAGGACAAGACCAGGTTGCAGAAACACATAGAGACAGCTGACCTGAACAAGGAGGAGCTAATGGCCCCCAGACTGATAGCTGGGAAACCAGCATGGGACTGACTCAGGCCCCCCTGAATATGGGTCTCAGCCAGAAGGACTGAGCAGTCTAAGGGACCTCAGACAGTGGAGCCAGGATGTATTCCTGGTGCACAAAAGGACCTTACAGACACATCCTCCATGGAGGGATAACTGCCTTAACCTAGAGACAGGAGAAAAGTCCTAGTCCCTACTTCAAATGACTTGACAGATCTACATGACCCCACCTGGATGGCATTGCCCTACATGTGGAGTAGGGATGGGAGGATGGGAGGGGAGGGTGGTCAGGGTGCATGTGAGGGGGCAGAGAGGGTAGAAGGGAGGGAGGGAGGGAGGAAGAAGAGGGAACTGGGATCAACATGTAAAATAAAAAAAAAAATAAATTAAAAAAAATTCTTTCCTTTATGGTGGTATTCTCTTTAGTCCATTTGGTTATGTCAATTGTGGTTATATCTTCAGCACAATATATTTAGCTTGTGAGCATAAAAACCTTTATGTGCTGTTTGTTGGTTTTCTTTTTAGTTCCTTAACAATGTGTCATAAGAAAAACAATTTAAAGAAGAAATACTAGTTTTGTCTCAATAAGAGAACAGCAGACTCAGAGCAAGTATACAGTTCAGGAGAGCCTGGGGTTTCCTTCTTTAGGTCCAGCAGAAAGACTAGCTATTTATAAAGGGTGGGTGTAGGTGGCACTTTGATTGATAGACTTGGGTTGCATACTACTTTGTGCATGCCCTTTCTCAGGATGTAACTGGTTTTAATCATATGAATATATGATCTAATCATGAATATATTTATACATATGAATATTTATAAATATGAGATTTTCACTAAAATTTCACTCAGAGGAAACAGTTTGCATCATTGTGTTTGTGTCCAAAACCAATCCAGGGTGGACCAACCCATTGCTCCTAGTTTTCCATATAGTCCAGGGTATGATTGACCACAGAAGGGCAGCCACCAACAAGCTGATCGGAAGAGAAGAATCCACCTATTCTTTGTTTATAGTAGGGTGTATATGCAGCTCAGTGAGGGTGGGGGTGTGAGGGTCACAGATTGGTAAGTGCCTTTTTCTTTCTTTCTTTGAAAAGAGGTGTGTATGTAGCTCAAATTAGGCAGAGTTACTTGATGCTTATCTTCCTCTATACTTGCCTACCTCAGTTATGCAAAAAACATTATGGTAGCAGGAGTGTGTGGTAGAGAAGGTTATTCATCTCATGGCAGCCAGGAAGCAAAGAGAGAAAAAAGGCACAGGGAGCCAGGGATAAAATATGTACTCCAAAGGCATATCCCATACTGATGTACTTTTAATTAGGCCTACCTTGTTGAGTTTCCACTGATTCCCAGTAGTGCTGCCAGCTGGGGGCTCAAACTTTCAAGACATGACCCTTTAAGGGACAATCAAATCATGACATCCCATCTCTGGCTCCCAAGGGGTCACACCCATCCCACATAGCAAAGTGACCAGTCTTGTCATGTGTTCTCAAAGTTGTAACAGTTCAGTGTTGTTTTCAAGTCCAATTCCAACTCAAGACAAACTCTTACCTGTGAACGTTAGTAAAGGTAAAAAATATGGTTAAAGTTTCCAGCATATAATAGGGCAGAATAAAGCAAGAAATGGGGTTAATGTTTTATATTATTTCCAGAAGCAGAAAAGAAACTAACCCATGACTGGAATCCAGTAGGACAGACATTAAGCTCTGTTGCTCCATGACCAACAGCTAGGATGTGAGCTCCAGAAGTGTTTGACCAGTCCCACCCTTGGTCTTGCAACTGCAGTCTGCATGGTGTGGTCTGTTGCTTGCAGCATTCCTCTGCAGATACTCCATGTTCCTGGAGTCTAGCTTCCTAAAGTCCCCATTACAGCTTAGGCTCTCCTTTCATAGCACCATGCAGCAAGTTTTGGCCACAGGCATTTTGTCCTGTCACGTACCGACCTTCCGGGTATTCTTTTGAAGTCTAAGTGGAAGCCTTTATGACTCATGTATTATGTTTTCAAAGTCAGCCTTAAATGGTCAATGCCAAGTTCTACTTCCTACTCACACAGTGACCAGGACCAAGCCTCACAAGTTTTATTATGATTTTTCACTCTGGCTTTTGCCCCTGTTTTCACTTTAAATCAGGTACAGCTTAACCAGCAATAGTCAACCTATAGCCTGAATACTTGACAATTTTTAAGACAATTAGTCTTTTATCTTTAAATTCAGCATTTTGTCAATGTCTTAAAGCATGAACAAAGTTTTTGATAGCCTGTAAATAAATAGCCTCTAGTCCAGTTCCCAGGACAGTATCCATTTCCTTCTCTGATACTCTGAGACTTGCCTTTACTGTGAATTCTTACCAGGGTTTGGTGTTCCAAACTCCCACTGAATCACCCCAATAGCAGACTGTATTTATTTTATTTTTAATTTTTATTATATTTTATTTATTCCTATTTGTAGGTGCATGCATGCCATGGTACATGTATGGAGGTTAGAAACTTTTTGGAGTTGATTCTCTTCTTCCAATATGTAAGGCCTGAGAATTAAGCTCAGTCCACCATGCTTATCAGCAAGCTCCTTTACCTGCTGAGTCATTTTTGCCAGCCCCTTTATCTTTTTAAAATGATTGCTTCTCTCTAGTTATTCTTTTTTTTTTTTTTTTCAGTCTATTGTTAACAGTATTCTTTTGGATAGCCTGATTTTTCCCAAATTGTTTTGAGGAAAACTATTACAACAAAGCGATACACAAAGACTGGTTTGTTTGAGAAAAGAGGGAGGCTAAGACCCACTGCCCCGTAGAGATGAGCTGTATGAAGTAAGAGTCTCAGGACTGAAGGAATTGAAATGAGGGGGGGTATGACTATTATTAAGTATGGAGAAAGGGAGAAAGCAGGCAGAGGAAAGAATCTAGGCTGAATATGGCTAGTGGACTGAACAAGACCAGGAGAGGAGATGCTGAGAGGCAAAGAGGCCAAGAGACCAGTGTAGCTAAAATGGCCTAGTTATATAGGGATCTGGCTGCTAGAAGTGAAGCAGAAACCCAGCCCCTGGGAGGGGGAGGTTGAGGGTAGGGGCCAAAAATACTGAGTGAGGCCAGGAGCTGGCCAGCTTCCCCTTTGATAGATATGTTAATAGTCACCTCAGTCTTTTGTCCTCCTGTTTCTGAGACCAGCAAGGATGTGAGCTGGGATCAGATCTTGAGGGAGAAAGCTATTAGGAACATTATAAGAACACTAAGCAAAAAGAATAGAGATAGTTGTCCTGGATAGCATGGCAGGAGACCATGCTTCAGAGGAATCCTCTGAACAAAGTGGACCATTCTGACTGTGTTCTTTCAGGGAGTGATAGGAAGCTCCACATTACATGATTTTAGTCTGCCTGGTGTGGATGACCAGAGCCAAGTACTGGGTAGGACCATAAACTCTTTCAGCTTCAAGCAGGAGGAGCTGCAAAACCACAGCTCACCATAGCAGGAAAGCTGCAGGAGTCTGTGACCTGATTCCTGAGGACTGCCAGGGTTTTTTAGAGGAACCAACAACTTTAAGTGGCAGGCTTGTGACCTAATAGCCAAACCTTCAGTTAAGTTCATAGCTTTTTTTTTTTTTTTTTTTTTTTTTTTTACTGTTTTTGTTTTGATAAATAGCCATTTACTCTGAACATTTTGCACAATAGATAACTGGTTTTGCATTGTATTTTCATGTTCTAGTAATGAAACCTGGTTTTTATCAATGGGCTCTTGTTTGGTTGGTTGGTTTGGAGAAGATGGTTGTTAGAAATAAAAACTTGGATGCTAGATACGCTTATAATTTTTAAGGGGTCATTATCACTCTGCTCTTTGGGTAGACAGGTTTGGGAAATGCCTTTAATTTTCATTACATTGTCCACTTTTACTCTTTTTATAATGAGAACATTGGTTGCTGCTTTTAAAAATATACCTGAACTAGCTGCAGGCCTGTTATATTCAAACTGCACACACAGCAAACCTGTTATGTTTATATTTTCTTTAAGGTTCTTTTTTGCCCCCAGCATATATTCTACTAAAGTAAGTGTTCTGTGATTTTAAATTATTTGAAATAACTGGTTTCCTCATGATTGTGTTGTTAATTTGATAATTTCATTGGCTATATTTACTTCAGTTCAGTTTAGGAGCTTGTCTTTGTCATTCTTGTAAACTTAATTTGAATGTGTGAAACATTTCACTTTGTTTCATTACTCTTCCCTCTCTTTCCCTTTTAAGGAAACTGTTTTCATTAATTTTTATTGTGTTTCTCCCTCCCTCCCCCCGCCCCCCATTTCTCTGTTCCTTTTAACCAGGAGGTCCTGGGCGAGCTACCATGCCAACTCCGGGAAACACAGCAGCTTTTCGTGCTTCCCTCTGGACCAATATGGAAAAACTTATGGATCATATCTGTGCTGCTTGTGGACAGGTAAATGTTTAAAAAGATGAGAAAAACTTTCTAGATAAAGTAACACCTGGTACTTGGGGCAGGTCTTTTATCATCACTGGTACTCTAGCACCTCGGCTGGCTGACTGTAGTGTGTGCAAAGGCTGTGCACGTCCCTCTCCCTGTCCACTTGTCCCTTAGTAGTTATGCCATTTTTGAGGAATTTCTGAAATATACCTTGCTTTTCCCAGTTCCTAAGTGTTAACATTGGTCTCACTTGACAACACCCAGTTAAATACACTTTGCCTCTCGTTCCTCCCACCTTTAGGTACAGCATCTACAGAAAGTACTAACCAAGAAGAGAGATCCTGCTTCTCACATTTGCTTCATTGATGAAATAGTGAAGGTATGTCTAAAGGAGAATATTTTGTATCTCGCTCATGCAGAAAGTAGGAAGATACCAGCAAGCATTACATGGGTCACTGCCTTGTAAGGTAACTGTATATCAAAGGCAATGTATTTATTGACAGTTATAAATTTCCCTTGCAAGAAAATGTCAGCAGGGGTGTGGTCTAATTTCTGAAGTGTACTACGCACTTCACATTTCTGACATGTAAGTGATGGCCTGCAACATTTTCAAAAATTTTCATTAGAAAGTAACCTGAAATATTTCCATCTTTAAGAAATTTAAACAGTAGTCATGATAACATATTCACATAAGGCCACAGAACTCATTCCATTATTAGTTTGCCCCATGGCTTTCTTTGCTGAATTTACTTTTCATGCTGTAAAATCTCCCTTTTCTCCTTTACCAACCTGCCAATTTCTTGATCCATTAGAACTCCTTTCAAGACAGGGAAATCTCTGAGTCTACATCTTAGTCATTAATTTTGAAGTGCTTGTATAATTGTTAACAGAATAAGGAATTATAATCCTATTTATTATTAAAGCCTAACCCTGCATGTGCTAAAGAAAAATATTAGTATGTTCCCATTTTGATGCCATAAGTAGTTTTATTTGTAACTTCATACATTACTATGTTAAACATCTCCAAGATTGCCTTCATTTGAGTGACTGAATCAGAGTCTCAGGACCCAGCCTGTAGTTTGACTGATGCCAATTATGTATTACACTTATATGAAGCAAAGTCAGTAAAAGTAATTGGCATGGGGACATCAATTGCTATCTCCAACGAAGCCCTCTTTAAGGAAGGGTACTGGTCAAGGGTCAATTACAGCCTAAGATGTATCAAAAGCCTAGGACTTCAGAGTACTAACCTCGTATAGTTTAGCTAAGGGAACAAATTTTATCAGCTAAAGAATGGTAATTTTCAAGATCCAGGTCTCCAGAATCCACCCATGAATCAACCTTCCCAGGGTCCTTATATGGTCGCTCGCAGTTGCTGCCGTGCTAGTGCTTTCCCACACAGCATTAAGAGTAGTACTCCCCCTGGCTTTACCCTGCTTCCTGCTTCCTTGCACATGTGGAAGATGCAGCTCCGACAGTTTGCACACTCACTAGTTATTTTGTACATTTACTAGGCTATGAGGAAAAGTTTAGGCCTTTACATTTACAAGCAAGTTTACATGCAGTGTACTCGTTCGCTCTGGTCTTTCCACACATATTAACTTACCTCTCTTTTTGTAAGAAGTGGCCTGTAATGTTTTTACTATCTGATAACCTATATTTTAAGATTCCATTTCATATTTTAGTATTATGTATACAACATTAATTAGAGTGAAATAATAACTAAAGCGAAACAATTCAAGTGTTTTTAAAAATATTTTGAGTGTGGGTTTGCCTTCATGCAGTTGTCAGAAAAGAGCGTCAGATCCTCTGGAGTTATTGCCACTTCGAAGTCTCCATGTAGTGTGGGGAGCATCCCTCTTTGGGTCCTCCTTGTTACCGTAGCCAAGCACTGGGCCAAGCCGCAGTAGTCCAGGTGAAGAGCTTTGTCCTGACTCAGCGTGATATACCATGCTTTATTGACTCCAATGGGAGGCCTTCCCCTTTCTGTATGGAGGAGGAGTGGATGGGGCAGGGTAGACAGGAGATGGGGGAAGGGAAAAGGAAGAGAGAATGGAGGGGAAACTGTGGTTGGTATGTAAAATACATGAAAAAATTTGTACAGGCCAGATTTTTAGTATTTTTTATGTTATTAGCTATTAAAATATCCCCTCTTAATCCTTTTAATATGCTTTAAACATGCTTCATTTTACTCTCCTATTTGTTCTTTTTTTTTTTTTTTTTTTTTTTTTGGTTTTTGAGACAGGGTTTCTCTGTGTACCCTTGGCTGTTCTGGGACTCACTCTGTAGATAAGGCTGACCTTGAATTCACAGAGGTCCACCTGCCCATGCCTCCTGAGAGGTGGTCTTAAAGGTTTGTGCCACCACTGCTACCAAAATGAAAATCTTAATGCAAAATATTCATCATTTGTTTAAATGACAGCACCTGTGTTTTCCTGTCTTTAATGTGGTTAACTGTGCTATAGTTGTAAACACATTTTCAGCAGGATGCAGGGATTAGTTCCACTTACTTAAGGCTGGAATGGAAGGATTGAGGCCAGCACGATTCCATTCCACCTCAAGATGTAAACAAAACAGTAAAATAATCACACATCTGTTTAGTAAGTGCATTGTTTTTGTAGTTAAGAGGCTGCATAAGAACCTATGTAAAGAGTTCAGGGTTCTTAGGATGATTTGGAAGCCCATATAATAATCATTAGCATAATATTTCTGTGGTGTCTTTCATGTGTTCTTGTTTCACTGGCAGTTTTTGCATTTTTTAAGGCTTTTGAAGAAGGACTTATACAAAATATGTAGAAAAATTTAAATACATACATTTATAAAAAGTATGGCTATGCCTAGAATAATGTCTGTCTTCCTACTTTATTAGTTCAGCCTTTTGTGTTTGTTTCTCTGTGTGAGTATGCATGTGTACATGTGTAAGTGTCATATGCACATGTGTTTGTGCAGGTGCTTGTGCATGCAGAGACCAGAGGAAGACATCAGGGGTCCTGCTTTATCACCCTCTACCTTATTTCTTTGAACCTGAGGCTAGGCTGTCTCTATCCCAGTGCTGGGGTTACCCACAGTGAAGTCATGCCCACTCTCTTCCCTGAGTACTGGGGACTTGAATTCAGGTCCTTATACTTTTCTTCTTCTTGCCCATTAAGCCATCTCTCTAGCTCCTGGTTTGTCTGTTAAATCTGTGAAAGTATAGTTTAAAAATAAGAGAAAAAAATGTAAACAATTTTTAGTGAAAAATGTTTCTTATACACAGGTTTTTTTATGGTATCTATTTAGAAATTTTTTTCCTTAAGAGATCAATAGTAATAAACATTTTTCTTTTTATATTAGAATCAAATAGAATTTAAAATTTTGTATTTATTTATTATTTTTATAAATAGTCTATATCAGAATTTCAGTGAAAGGTCAATTAAATGATGCTTCATATTGGTTTTGCTGTATGGTATAACTATCACCATAGGAATAATGGCTATGAGTGGGAAACTGAGCTCTCTTCCAGATTATCTTGATTGACGAGCTGTTCCAGTGCTTTTAAAATTCACTGGAGACTAAAATAGAATTTCTGCATTCCATAGTACTTTTGACAGCTTCTTTCCTTTTTCAAAAAACGATTGATTATTTTCTATGTCAAATGATTGTTGTGATTATTGTCTGATACTGTTCAGTTTTTACATATTGATACTTGAAATTTTAAATGTCTTTATGCTTCATTATAGTGCTATACAAATTAGTCATATTTGCTTCCTTTTCCTAAGACCTCCCTACTTTATACTTAACATTTTCATAACATAACGTTTTAGTGTTTGCAAGCTGAATTGTTAAGTTCTGCTTGGTTTGTTTGGTTTTGGTTTTTTAAGGCAGGGTTTCTCTGTGTAGTCCTGACCATTTTGGAACTAACTCTATAGACCAGGCTGACCTCAAACTCATAGAGATCCACCCACCTCTGCCTGAGTGCTGAGATTAAAGATGTGTGCCACCAGCTCTTGGTATAAGGTTTGCTTTCTTAGTACTACTTCACAGAATGTCAAAGGAAGACAAGTATACTGATTAGTAACTTAAACCTTGGCTTCCCAGCACTAACCCCTGCCTAAACTGATCATACGTTATACGCTTTCAGAGCCTTAGCGATCAAATTTTGCCACTGAAATGATATACCCTGAGTAGAAAAACAAGTAAAATTCAGATATAGCAGTTCGTTGTACTAGGCTCAACAGTGATAAGACAATGGATAATAATAAGACTCAATGGTATAATATGATAATTGCTATTTCAGTGTTTTAAAATCTTAAAATACATTTTTTTAGAAATCAAAAGCTAGGTAATAAAGAACTATGACGCATGAGGAACTCAGTTTTGTTTAACAGTTATAATAACAATTTGTTTTGGTATTAATTGACATGTAATATCAGGAGCTCAAGTCATTATCATACTTCCTTAAATAACATAATAAGCAATATTTTGAATATGTCAAGATTGTATATCTCATTTAAATAAAGTAATCCTATATATGGTAACTTTTTAGCTATAAAAGTAATCAAACTTAGTTTTTGTAGTTTTTTTCTTGTAAATCTTATGATACTTGTAATTCATTTCAAATAATTTGTTTGCACTCTTTTAACAGGCAAAAATAACAGTAGAGTTTATTTTAAAACTTTTAGTTTTTCCAGGCAGTGGTGGCACATGCTTTTAATCCCAGGACTCAGAAGGCAGAGGCAACTGGATCTCTTTGAGTTTAAGGCCAAGAGTGAGCTCTTGGACAGCCAGAGCTACGTACAGCTGTTGTGCCTGTGGGTTTCCTCAACCTCCAAGGAAGTGACTCCTGAATGCAAAAGCAAAAAGTTTTTATTGCTACGAACCAAACTGGCTGGAACCTCACTCTATTGGAAGAGTAAAGTGCCTGCTTACAATTGTGAAGGGTTTAAAAAGGGAAAAGGGAAAGGAGGCTTGAGACCGCTAGTCTCAGTTCACAAGGTTACAGACATTTTATAGAGTACAAAGTTTCTTTACATGGTCATCATGGATAGGCAAGATTCATTAGCACACCTGCAATGTTAGGAGCTTTTTCGTTCCTTTTTCTTTATCTCCTGAGAACAGCTTGTGGGCTCTATAGTCACAGAATTATCTACTGGCAGAAATTCTTGTTCTCTTTAGTTTTTCCTTCTTGCCATAAGCCCTAATTTTTAATTTTTCCATCATCCAGAGAAACCTTGTCTTGCAAAGCCAACATCAAATAAATAAATAAATAAATAAATAAATAAATAAATAAAAGTTTAGTTTTCAACTTGGTAATTGCTAAGATGTTTGATTCTGGGTTGTAGAAAGGACAGTGTGTATAACATCTATAGTCCAATAGTGTGGATGTTCTGACGAGGTAGT